GGCGCTCCTCACGAGGCTGGTCCTTCCAGGCGCCCTCGCGAGGCTGGCCCTGCCAGCGGTCCTCACGAGGCTGATCGCGCCACTCCTGGAGGCGGTCGCGTCCATCCCAGCGTCCTCCACCTCAGCCGCCACCTTGACTGTAGTCCCGATCATTGCGCTCGGGGCGTCGACCGAGGCGCCCGTCGCGGAGGGCCCTGAGCTCCTGACAGTCGCTGGTGTTGTGGCTGTGAACGTTGTGGGAGGCGCAGAAGAGTCGGTTGCTCTTGGATGACTCAGGGTGGTCGCAACCGCGCTTCGTCTCTGGTTCGGCCACAAGCACGGCTGGCCCCTTGCGCTTCACGTCCTTGTTCTTGGTCTTCTTGTCTTCTGGATCTACATCGGGGAGCTCGAGGAGGGAGAGGCGCCCCTCCTCAGCCCTGGCGCACTTGTTCGCCATGTTGAACATCTCCAGGGTTGTACAGAGATCCTCGTGAATGGCGAGCTCCTCCTTCATCTTGACGTCGCGGACGCCATCAGTGAATGTTGATGGCCTCGTCTGACACCTTGGGGTTCTTGAGGCGAACGTTGTTGACGTGGCCGCCTCGATGCTCAGCTCATACAGCTGCAGGAACTCGGCGGGGTCGGCGGTGCCGTCGTAGCGTGGAGGCAAGTCCGGCTTGAACTTGCTTCGCCAGACGACGTCGCGGAGCTCCGGAGTGAACGCGCGACATCCTGCTGTGGCCACCGGAGGTATTCAAGGGGGTGGAACCTGTTCCTGGTGCACGCACACCACCACCTCCTGCAGCGGTATGCAGGCCTGGTGCTCGGGCGCTGGAAGCACACGCGCCTCTCCTTGGGGACGCTGCACCATCTGGCAGCTCACGTCATCTCGAGCCGGCGACGGGCGCTGTGGGTCACGCCGTGGAGACACACGCCTTGGCTCAATGATGACGCCGTGGGCCGGAGGTGGTGGAGGGGCCCCGTGCACCACGTCGCCCGCTGCAGGTGGTTGCTGAGGCAGTGAGTGAGCCGGCTCGGCGGAGCTCTCGTGCGCGACGCTGATGAGCTCGGCGATCTGCTCGAGCCACTCCTCGTAGAGGTCACCCACCGGGCGGTAGCGAAGAAGCTCCCGCGCCGTTAGCAGAGCGGCCTGCGCGTCCACCTGGCAGTGACGCGCATGTGATGATGAAGCTGCTGGGGTCAAAGAAGGAGTAGCGGTGCGCCCGTCACGGCGCACCGACGGGTGCAGCGATGAAGCTTACTGCTCGTGGCCGGCAGGGCCCGTGGCGGCGTTGGCCACCGAAGACGGAGCGTGACGTGCACATCCATCACCCCCCGGAGCCGTCTGAGCGACGCGGGCGGCGACTGGGGCCCGACGCTCCGCACGAGCTCGGCATGCGTTGGCCATATGGAGGTGTCAGAGTGGCAGTGGATCGATCGATGGAAGAGGGAATCCGACGCACCCCTACTTGGCGCACCAAATTTCAGATTAAGGGATCCGCAAACCCTTGAGAGGTTCAAACTCTGGGTTGCGTGCGGAGATCTTAATCTACCCAGCCTGCCTACTCGCGATCCTTCTAAGCCTAGCGCGTCAAGCTCAAAAAGACACAAGGACACGACAGTTTATCCTGGTTCGGGCCACCTTGTGGTGTAATACCCTACTCCAGCGTTTTGGTGGATTGCCTCGAAGGGCTGAGGATGGGTACATTGGATGAACTGGCCTCAGGAGGTGAGGTGTTCTTGAGCTCAAGGGAGCTGGTGTGGTGTGAGCTAGTTCTACTTGCTCTCTATCAGATTGTCAGTCCGTTCGTCCTCCGTCCCCCCTCTATGGTGGTGGCTAGTCCTATTTATAGTGGCCTTGGTCATCTTCCCAAATGTTGGCGGGAAGGGATCCCACAACGACCAGATTTGAAAGGGGACAAGTAGTACAACTTATCCTGACAAAAGTAGTCTTCGCCCGCGAAAAACCTCTGGTCGTGATGCTGCGGCGGGCTCGTTGATGACCTCCATCCTGCCGTCCTGGCGGTCTTGGTCTCGTTGCATCGAAATGGGAACCTTTGGCTGATCCTCGGGACCCCGCACCTGTGGCTTGCCTCCTTTGCACTGAAGAGGAAACCTACGCTCTGCGCCCGCCTGGCCTTGGTCGTCATGGCTCACGTCAGCTGAGCCTCGTGAGGTGAACCTTGAATAGAACTCTCCACCCCTCAGGAGCCAGCCTAGGAAGGCTGATCCCCTTGGGGGTCTTGGCATCGTCCGCCTCGCGAGGCTTGGCCCCTCGCGAGGGTCTTGTGTTGTTGATGCTAAAGTTTGGCTGTACCAGACCGTCGATGAAGCCACGCGGCGGGCCGCAGGCAGGCAGGGCTGGACACCCCCAAATCCAGGACGCCGACAGAGATGAATCATCGACCCGAAAAATCTGCCATGAAAAAACCAATATTAACATTGTTGTATCTATGTCAAAGTTTCATGGAATGACAGTAAATATATACTATATACTATGCTTCCTAATTTTAAAGGCCCCACAATCAATCAATTGAGGTCTTCAATTTGAAATTGTGTTATCCGATTTTGACCGGATCAACGATTTCTCAAGGAGCTTGATCATTTAATTCTTTTAATACATTTTTAATTTGAAATTGGTTCATCCGATTCTGATTGGGTCAACGATTTCTCAAAGAGCTCTCTCATTCAATTCTTCTAATACACTATGCTCCCTAATTTTTAAGACCTTGCAATCAATTGAGGTCTTCAATTTGAAATTGATTCATCCAATTTTGACTGGTCAACAATTTATCAAGGAGCTCCCTCATTCAGTTCTTTTAATTCACTGTGCTCCGTAATTTTGGAACTCTTCCATTCGATATATGTTCCCTAATTTTGGAGCTCTTCCATTCGATTGCAATTTGGATTTGCTCCATGATTTTGATCGGGCCAATGATTTTTCAAATCAATTAGCAGTAATCAACCTATAAAAACATATCAATTTCGCATGTGCTTTCATCACCTACAAAAAATAAGTGTCATCATGTGATACTGTAACACCTATATAGTAAATGCAGCCACCGATGCAAAAATTTCTTCACATAAATATGCGTCCATTAGCATATAACACACACCACGGAAGACCTACCAAAACACCACATTAAATAAGTAAAAATAGCACACACTCCCTCATCTCTCTTACTCACCAAACTAAATATTCTCTCGGTTCCAAAATATAAGGTGTAGTAGTTTTTTGGATCATTCTTTTAACTTTGAACAAGTTTAAAGCCAAAAATATCGACATCCATAATTCTAAATAAATAAAATATGAAAAATCATTTCATGATGAATCTAATGATAACAATTTGATATTATGTACTTTGATATACTTCTCTACAAATTTGGTCAAACTTAAAGAGGTTTGGCTTTTCCAAAAACTAATACGTCTTATATTTTGAAAGCGTGAGTAAAATAATTATGAAAACCTAACAACAACAACGGCGCAGCAAAGCGTGTTTAACCCTTCTAGTACATTGAGGATGTTCGAATAGCACATACAACGGACAATACAACTTCTTTTGCCTTTTACCTAAATTCTCAGAACAAATATATTGAATAATAGCCCCCTATGGCACACAATTTCTCTACCTTTGATTCTTGACTGGTTCATGATGCCGCTGATGCAAAACAGCACCTCAACTAATGTATATCTCGATCTCAAATTGTGACAAATAGTGCATGTCTATTGTAAAAACAAATGCACACTATACAATCTGAACAGTGTGACGCAAGAAATCAAAGACACGATTTGAAGATCCTATGTAGCCCGGTACCATTCTGCCATGGTAGAAGAAACATCCATGAGAAATCCTGTTGTTGTTTTTTTTTCCTTTTTTGACAATCACATAGGAAATCCATGTTATTTTGGAGTGTGGACACCATCTATTTACTACTCCCTCCGTCCGAAAATACTTGTCCTAGAAATGGATAAAATAGGTGTATCTATAACTAAAATAAGTCTAGATACAACCATTTCTAAGACAAGTATTTTCGGATGGAGGGAGTACATCTTTTCTAAAATGCAAGACATTTTTGTCTTTACATGGCCATTGCATGACTTCTTTTTTGAGAATTGATGCATTGATGCACAACTTTGACCTTTAATATTTCGTCCGAAAAAGCTTGTGTCAAGCTTGTCCCTCGAATCAGTGGCGGAGCCAAAAAAAAGTTGGATCGAGGGGCCGAGTGATGGTGAATCAGGTTGAGGAGGGCCAAACCATAGAAAGAGAGACATTTAGAAGGAACTAATGACTCATTTTGCACTATTCACAAGCAAATTATCAACAAATCTTGGATGTTAGGGGGTCAGGGCCCTGTTGGCACCCCTTGTCTCCGCCACTGCCTCGAAGATACATCTATTTGAGGAACAAACTTTTTCGGACAAAGGGAGTACCAAAGTACATGGATTGAAATGTATAAATGGTATCCGCCTATTTCTCTTACAAAACAATTTTATTTTATTTGTCTTTACACTAATTTTATAGACATAGTAAGTGAAAATCATTGTGCCTTGTATTTATTTTGGGAAGGATGGAGTTGATGAATGATGATACTGCTGCAAACAAAAACCCTTTCTTTCCCGCCTCGATATTCGAGTCTGGGAGAGGAGTGCAGGCGCGCCGCGGTCAATTTCGCCACTGGCACACGGCGAGGTCACATCACCATCAATGGCGTCCGACCTCCCCTCCCCTCTCTCTCTCTTATTAGTGGAGCACCTATCAGTCGCAAGGTCCAGATTCCAGAACAGCGCCCCCGACCTTACCCACTGCCTTTCTCTCTCCATTTTACCTTCTCCCTCCGCCGCCAGCTAGGGTTACGGCCGCCGGGCAGCGCAGCTCAACAATACGTCTGACAGCGCCGGTGGGTGGCGGCGACGCACGCGCGCGCGCGCATGGCCGGAGGCGACGCGTCGACTGGGGCAGGGCCAGGGCCGGAGGAGGCGGGGGTGGACGCGGGGGGCTTCGAGTTCGCCTTCGACAATGAGGCCTTCTCCGACAGGGAGCTGTATAGTGGTCGTCGGCGCCGACGACGCCGACAGCCGCAAGCGCCGGCGCGAGGAGGCCGAAGGTGCGTACGTACAGAGGCATAAGTACCATTTTACCCATTAAGTCGATTCTAGGTGTCACGCTAGCTAAACTAACTGCCCGATCTACGCGCGTATATCCGGATACGATACTGTATATAGGAAGTATATTTTTAAGTTTTAGATTTCGAGGTGTTGAGGTTCTCGGACACGGTAACACTTTCAGAACAACGTCTCAAAATAAAGTAAAATTCAGAACAACAGTTATCAAAGAGTATATGTTGTCTGTGCCTCCAACTAAAATGCAGCAATTTTGTAGCCACATATAACATACTCCCTCCGTCCCATGATATAAGATGTTATTACATTCAATAGATGTAATAACTTCTTATATTGTGGACGGAGGGAGTATTTGATTCTTTGGATGTAGCAGTGGCGGACAAACTACATTATGCCATTCAAGTTGAGAATTGCCATTGGACGACTAAAAGGATTTGGAATGTTTTGTATGTTTATAGGTCTGTAGGCTTGGGATATTTGTACTTGTTAACGGTAGTTATGTGTGATTCTTGTACCTTGATGCTTCAGACCTTAGTTTCACACCTTTCACATGAAAAATGATTTTTTCTTGAGAATCTGCAATTGATATATCCACCAGTGTAGGATCCAAAGGTCCAAAAACAAGTCGAAGAACAGATTATTTATCAAAAGCGTTATTTCTGGAATGTATACTTGGATATGAATGAGCAAGTGTCATCATTCATGTATTTTGTGAACATTAGTCCTTGAGTTGTTTTGTATCAGCGTCATCCTTCATGATTGAGGAGCCCCCTGTTCCACATTTTTGAGGTCAACACTACTTCCTGTTTTGTCTGTGGTTCACCTCAATTTAGGTTGTTGAAACATTTAAGGTCTATATTACCTTGTGCTCATAATCACTTGCTTTAAGTAGTACACAAACATATGTTGATTGTGGTACACACTGGTATGTTGGTACAGTAATGGCACAGTCCGTTCAACTAGGCAGCACTTGGGTTCTTGTGTTTCTTCGTAGGAGTAACATAAAATTACAACCCAAAACCTTTTCTAAGTAAATCTTCTTCATGCGGCAGAACTGTAGTCACATATTCAAGTTGGGAACTGGCACTGGACAGCTAAGAATATTTCGAATAATTTGTATGCGATAGGTCTCTATGCTGGTGAAATAGCAATCAACCTTTGGTCGAAGATACAAGCTGATCAATTATTTCACATCTTTTGCATGAAAAATGATATTTACCTGATTGCTACATTGAATCTGCTATGTTTCTATCTCTAAATATAGCATCCAGAGGTTAGAAGAACAGATTTATCACGAGTGTTATTTCTGGAATATGTGAACTTGGATATGAATAAGCAAGTGTCATCCTTAATGGTTAAGGAGTTCCCTGTTCCACATTTGAAGTCAACATTAGTTCATTAGTTGTTTTCTTTGTTTTTGAATTGAAACATTAAAGGGCGTATGAGCGTGTTTATTATGCTTGATGCAGCTCAATGGGTATCCAGTTTTTTATATGTTTAAGATTTTGCCATGTTTCTAAAAGTTGATTTAATAAATGTGCGCACAGAGAGTGACTGTATGAGGTTCTGGTTTTAACCAAAAAAAAAAACATGTCTAGTAATTATGTTATGTGCCTTTTTCTTACCTAGATTTGCATGTTTCTCTATATTTATTGGAACCATGGTATTTTGCAGGTGATGGTGGAGAAGATATCGACTCTTCTTATACTGTGACGAGTACACCAGTTTTACGAGTTGAAACCATACATGTCTGCTCGGCGATTCTTGCTGCAAAAAGTAACTTCTTTCGCATGGTAATTCTGACGATCTTCTGAAATTCATTTGTTCTATAATCAGTTGCCTCATCTTTCTGATAAGCTTCATGATTGTTAGCTTTTCTCAAATGGCATGAAGGAGTCTGGCCATAGACAGGCAACAGTTACAATTGCTGACTCAGGTAACTAGTGTGCGATTTGCTCTCCTTCGTCTTCTTATAACTGATGATTCTAGTTCATTATTGTGATTGTATTTTTTTCTGTATTATTATTGTTATTATTATTATTGTAGAGAGACCTTTTTTGGAGTTTCCTGCCACACTTTTCTACTTTGATATCATTATCTCGATTGGCTCTCATTAGTCATTGCCCTTACAAACTGTTGCCCCAAATGGATATTTTCTCACGCATTACATGTTTCCCCATTTGATTATTGGAAGTCGATTGTCATACTTAAATAATCATGTATGCATAAAACAGTAGCTATCACTCTTCTTTTGTACTCATTCATTTAATGTCACAGTTTGAGAATTCATTGAACTGTTTCATCAATCCTTATGCCTTCTTGCCCTTATTTCTTACTTGGAACAGAGTACGAAGCCTTCCTGGAGCTTTTACACTTTATTTATAGTGGAAAGCTGACACCAACTGAACCCATTCTTCTGGTTGATATCCTGCTGGCTGCTGATAAATTTGAGGCTGCTTCTTGCATTAAGCTTTGCGGTCAACGGCTCATAGACCTGCCTATGACTCTAGAATCTGCAGTAATGTGCCTAGATCTCCCATGTTCCATTTCAATGGCGCCTGCCCTGGCAGAGGCGGCCAAGAAATTCCTTGCTAAAAGATACGATAAATTCCTGTCGACAGAGTAAGTAACCCCCATTGGATTGACATACCTTTTCTTTTTCCTCCTTCACGAAACATGTGGACATTGTTGTCATAATATCATTATGTGCATCATTTCAGGTTTCAGGATGAACTGATGACGGTATCTCTCACTGGGATTGTAGCCATTTTATCAAGGAATCACCCCGGGGTTGCATCTGAAGAGGCCGTCTATGACTTTGTGCTCAGGTGGGCCCGCTTTCAGTATCCAAATTCAGAAGAAAGGCACAAGATTTTGAGTTCAAGTTTACTTCCACTGGTGCCAGTGGTGCGCAGCATGACCAATGGCATCCTGATTGACCAGCCGTCCTGCATAGTTGACTTTACTCTAAGTCGCAGGCAATGCTCCGGCCTCTTCCCATCGGGATCGATACGCTCCCCGCCGTTCTGTTGTGCGGGGCATGGTTTCTTCCTCTCGGCGCACGGTCGAATGGGGCTGTCCAACTGTTTTAGCCTCTTGATAGAGAAGCTAGAAGGCAAGGGGCCAGTAAGAGGGACAATAGATTATGAGATTGAAGCAAAGACAAGACCGTCGCTGGAGTTTCTCTTCTCGTGGAGGCGCACCACCACCACCGATAGTAGACAGGCTTTGGGCTGCAGGATTCCTTGGCCATCCATCATTGCTGACAACAGCCGTTTCTTCGTCGACGACAAACTCCATCTGCGAGTTCATGTGAAGATAACGCCGCAGCCGTAGCCGTAGCGATGCATGCATTAGCTGCCCCTTTTTTGTTTTTATGAGCTAGGAGAAGCCCCTGTTCTTTTTAACATATGAAGGAATCTGAACCGGGGCTGCTCTAGTTATTTGCTGGCATTTGCTCTGCTCCCTTTTGGTGACTAGAATGTAGCATGTGATCATTTTTAGTTGGATGATGGAGTTTCATTGTGTCGGCTGATACATGTTACTGATGACCTCTTTGATTCGACGGACTTGTGACCCTTCGAATGAACATTATGTGGTTGTCTGTTCATGGTTATCGTTGGACATTTTTCTTCGCTCGTACTCCATGGCAGTTGATAACAATGTGTGCCCCCAGGGCAAAATGTTGTTGCTTGCAATGGGTGCTCCCTGGAAACAGGAACATCTAACAAGACAGCATGTGCCCCCAGGGCAAAACGCTCCTGTATAAGCAGCAGCTTTAGCCTTTTGGCTTGAGAGTTCACCCTGAAAGAAACTCCCAGCCATGGGCGCTGGCTGTGTGGTTCACTAGAAAGGAGAAAATAAACTGGTTCTTCACAAAAAGTAATGCCGCTGCGGGACACTGCTCGTTCATAACTCTGGAGTGCAATCCTCTGTAAACAAATACTCCCTCCGTTCGTAAATATATGTCTTTTTAGAGATTACACTACAAACTAGATACGGATGTATATAGACATATTTTTGAGTGTAGATTCACTCATTTTGCTGCGTTTGTAGTCCATAGTGGAATATCTAAAAAGACTTATATTTAGGAATGGAGGGAGTATAAGACATAAACGTCTTCTATTTGTTTACAAAGGGAGTACATAATAATCAGGACATAGCAGCTGACAGGACATAACATCTGTTGCCTTTTATCTCGAAATGAATATTGAATAGCATTAGCACTATGATACACAATTTCTGTCCCTCGAATGCTCTGCCAGTTAATGGTGCTGCGGATATAACAAAATGTATATCTTATCTCTCTTTCTCAAAATCTGATGGGGAAAAGAATTACTTGGGGGGGCAATGTAACAAATTGTGCCTGTCTATTGTGAGAAAACAAAATGTACACTATACAATCTGAACAGTGTGACGCAAGGAATCAAAGGCATAATTTGAAGATCCTATGTAGCCTGGTACCATTCTGCCATGGTAGAAGAAACAAGCATGAGAAATTCAATTTTCTTTCTGAGTGGAAAGTCGCCGTGCTTGTGGACACCATCTGTTTCTGTTGTATGACTGAAAACAGGAATTGGTGTGTGTGTGTGTGTATCTGACACTGGGAGATGCAGATTGATCTACGCTATCTACTACTCATCTAGTGAGAGGCTCAAGCTGCACCTCCATTACACCAGAAGGCCTAGATTCTGAACTCCTGGCAGAGCTGTCAGGATGCAAGAGATCAACCGAGTCATCTTCCTCGGTGTTACCTAGAACCCAGTGCCCTCTGAAGCTTCGGTCGCCGCCCCTTCGTTTGACCTCTTTATATTCTAGGGACAGAGCTATAACTATGGCGGAAAGCACCCAGAGCATCAAGGCCCAGGTGAGCTCCTCTACATTTTCACTGTCATACCTCTGGCCTAAATGCTTCATTCCGGTGAAAAGTGCCACGACTCCGACGACAATTGCTGACCTGCCTGTGATGACATGTAGGTACTCCCAGAGGACACGGTTCCGGGGTGGAACCTCCCCGTTAGCGGGCCTCTTGGGCCGGAAATAGGCATTAAGCGGCTGAAAAGCTGCCAAAAGTAAGGCTGATAAACCAAACTTGACGTGCACTGAATCAACATAGAAACCTCGGAGCTCGGCTGCAGCAAAAAGGACGCCAAGGAACATTATAGAGATCCCAGAATACTGCAGATAGACATGTATTTGGTACCACCCATCTCCCTTCAAGCTTTTCAAATACCGAGCAGCCAATATTCCACCAGGAAGCAAGATGCCCCAGGCCACAAACATCATAAATCCATGCACAGCCAGAACGGGCCGCAAGTCCTGTTCTGCCTCAGCTGAACCTCTCAACAAAAGAACACGTATGGGGCGACTGCTTGTGACCGAATGCATATTACTGTCCGTCAGATCATCTCCTGACCAGCTTGCACCCATGGCCCAAACAACCTTGAGAGGTGTGGTTGGATCAATAATATTCTTGCACTCCACCTTCCCAGTACAGGAAGGCTTAAGAGGACGTGTAAACTCAAATGTAATAACACCATCTTCTGATTTACACCTGACATAGGTTAAATTTTCAGATGTTGAATGAATACCTGCTGCACTCTTTCCATCAATCCAGTAAGTCTTGACCCTCCCAACTCCATCATTGCCTACCCAGCCAACATAGGCATAACTGTTCAGCATCCCATTCCCAAACGCGACAGCAAGGTACCCGCTTTTCTTCTCACCTCGAGCTGCTATAGATATAGAGTCAGTGGACAGAGTCCAAAACAGAGTAACCTGCTGATCATCCAACAGGACACTATTATTGTACATGTCACTGAGGCCTCCATCAACCACTTGAACCTTCCACCCCATCTTTGCTTCATACACCGACTGGTAGTAGACAAGATCAGGTGTATTCCTATCAGGCAGCCAAACCAGCTCTGTGGGGGTTGCTGGCACACCATGAACATCAGGGCCACCGGCATATATGACCTCAGTCTTATTCCTCAAAGTGGCATTTCCACCGATGGGGTCTGAAGTGACATACAGTGCCACATCATGCCCAGCCTGCACTGAGAACTTCACCGGCACACCCCTCTCGACCTTCAGGAGTGGCGCCTCCTTCTTGTTGATGTAAATCACCTTGTCAGGGTTTGGTGGGTTTGGGTAGCGCACTGCTGGAGCGGATGTCACAACCAGTGGCGTCTTCCCATCGGCAATGATCCTGTCCTGGTCTTGCTTATTGTCGGCATCCAACGGTCCAAGGCAACTGTCCACCGCCTCGGACAAATTAAGCCTCATCAACCCAAAGGTTTCATCCCTCGGACCCCCATGATTCTGCGGAAGGTAGTGCGGCCGCAAAGTGTCCGGCGGACGCAGCTTTCCGATGGCCCAGACCACAGCCATCTCCTCCGTGGCACCAACAAGCACATCATATTTGTCATCCTCACTGTCGAGTTTCCTCTTGTACCTGACGAAAGACACACCATCCCGCCGGTGCCCATAAACCAGCCTGGAATCGTTCCTCCCGTCATCATAAGCACTGTCCGGGCACACTCCGGACACAGGCAGGTCATCCTTCCCCATGGTGCACTCACTGTAGTCGGTAATGTAGTAGTCCTCGGCGAACGGCATACCTTCCTCGGTGAAGCCAGCGACGACGACGTCGGAGCGGACCATGGCGGGGGAGTTGGCCTTGGGGTCAGCCCATCCGAAGGCCATGTAGTACTCGGAGCCGACCGCGGCCTCGAGGCCGATGTCGACCTCGCCGGCGGACGCGTTGAGCGTCCAGCGAAGGCGGTAGCCCTCAGAGAGCTGGACGCAGTTGTCGAACATGGTGGGCGTGGCGACCCGGGAGGCGAGAGCGGCGGTGGCGTTGGAGGAGTTGGAGGCGGCGGAGAGGAAGACGTGGCCGAGGTCGGAGGAGGTGTCGGGGTCGAAGATGGCGAGGAGCGGCGGCAGCGGGGCGGAGAAGGGGAGGCGGAGTGTCTCGTTGCGGAAGGTGGCGTTGAGCGGGAGCGGCGAAAAGGGGCGGCCTTTGGCAAGGTCGTCGAGGGAAGGGCCGTCGGCGGCCCAGAAGCGCGCGGAGGGGGAGGCGGCGAGGAGGTCGAAGCGCGTGAGCTGGAGCGCGCAGGCGCCGGAGGGGTCGAGGCGCACCGTGCCCCGCAGCTGGTGCTGCAGCATGGTGAGGTCCGCCGCGAAGCCCGCCGTCAGGTTGGTGTGCCGGCACGCCGCGTCGGCCACGGCCGCCAGGACCGCGGCCGCCACCGCGAGGCTGGCGAGGAGGGGGGCGA